GTCAGTTATCCGCGATTTTTGTTGATTTTCGCGATGACCGTCACCTACAGTATCGCCTGTCCACTCATCGCACCGTCCGGTAAGTCATACAATGAGGTTATTGAAGAGTTTGTTTGTTGATAATTGGTTTGACCATTGATTTGTAGGCCTTTTCTACATGATAATCAAGCACATTGTCGATCGCTATAACATATACTACATCTACACTCCGATCAAAATTAACGATCGGATCCACTCGACGGCCATACTCTACGTGCACATCGCGTTACTGATGATGCAGTTCCAGGTCTTCACGTTTCTGCTGATGCGCACCAAAGGGTCGGCCGTTTTGGCCTTCTCTACGTTCGTCCTACTGATCGCACTGTTAGTCTTTGCCGGTCATTGCTTTTTCCATTGGTTCCGCAATATTAATCACTTGACGTATAGTGTATGTTATGATTGGCATCGGGATGTGGTTTAGGAACTAATGTCTTGATTGTCTGTTTGATACCTGCCGTATAGGTTACGACTAAACTGAATAAAAGGTCTAAAAAGTACGACTACTGTGCCTGTGCTTACGCGCCGCCTGTTTTCAATGGTTTAGTAGACGATGGAGTGGTCACAAGAGATGATCTAATGTCGGGCACCGGTATAGCCAGCAGTTCCGACGCTTAACATTCATTGACATTTCATTTTGATATAATTTCGCAAAACTATATGTTATTTATTACAAGAGTATAGAAATTATTTTTAAGGTTACAAACACTTCATTGCTATTCATTTAATATATTTAATTTAATTTTTAATTATTATTATTATTATTATCTTTTTGTATAAATATATTATATTTTGTTGTTATAATTATTAACAGATATTTTACGCCTTTGTTTCCCATGTGTTTTGGGAATAACTTATTATTTTTTATTCACACTTTTAGTAACAAATAATCACTATTTGGTGAATAGTTTGAGTGAATGTCGCGCAGAATGAGATTGACTTACAATTTGTGTTAATTTTGTAATAGAAATGAATACGAGATAAGGATTTAATTGTTAGAGAATTTGATTTTTTAAATACACAGTTGTCTCCAATTGTGATGTGAACACAATTTTTAATATCATTTTATTACCGATAATTTGTAAGTTAAAGTCAAATAGTAATAAATTCTTGATATTTCTATTGAATTATTTACTATAGAAATGTAATATCGAGAAATAATAATATTAATAATAATTAATACAATTAACAAGTAATACATTAGTAATTAATGTTATAACACTAATAAATTACATTTAAGATTAATAACTACTGTATTTGACCAGAATTGAACTCAAATTTTATACAAATTTTCAAACTTTGATAACTTTAACAATAAAAAGTCGATTCATTTTGTTGTTTGAAAAGTTGTATCGCTTTCTATACAGTTCTACGAAAACTTTATCTCAAGACTTACCACCGATTATAGCATTTGATTCAAAGACAAGGATGATGTCTATAGTCAGGACATATTTGGACAAGTAAACAACACACAGAATTTAATATATACTTTGTATAATGCAGTAATTAATAATTATTTAATCTTATTTATTTGAAATCTTAATAATAATTTTTAATTAAAATAACATTTATTAAAATAAATAAATCCCACATATAGTAAAACTTTTCAATCATATCTCACACATAAATCAAATTACTGTAATTAAACAATTAAATTGTGTTTCAGATAAGATTAAGACATGTTTCACAAATTTTTCTAACATTTTTGTAGTATACAAACAAATTAAAAACAAATTTTCATATAATAAGAGTTGTTTAGCAATGAGAAAGTATCCACAAAATGACTCGACGACTAATATTTGTCCAAATTTTAAGTGTAATTTTAATTTTAAACATTAAATCATACGAAACATGTTTTACGGATTGTGATTCTGGTGACCCTGTTGATGATGGTTACGCCCCTAATGACACGTCTGGTGTAATTTGTATTCAGTGTATAGTTCCGGAGGATTCAGATCAAGTGAGTTATGGTTTGCATAAAATTAATTTCATATAACCATTAATTCTTAAACAAAACTCTTTTGGTATATTCTCTACAGAATCTAATCTTTTATATCAACCAAACGAATGACAAAAGTTTTAATCTTTTAAACATAAATGAGTTAATTATCGAGACATCCGGTCAGTTTGTTATCAGTGATACCGATAGTGCTTACAATTATACTAGCAATGGGACTGATATCACATATATCCCTGGTGAAACTATCAAAATAAACAACAATTTAGTTATATTTCAAATCAATTTAATGGCCAAACAAATGCCTTCAACCCCTGTCCCCCCAATTGGTCTCATTGCTGACATAATACCTGTCCGCTTCAGACTTGAACTCAAATATACTGAACAGCCGTTTAATACCACTGAGGAGACCATCGATGCCGACAATACTGACCACAAAGAGTTGATATATGATTATCACCCAAATTGGGTCCACACGTGGATCCTTAACCGAACTCTACCTAAAAGCTATGGACTACTCATAACAGTAAATCAATTTGATTTAGACGTGAATTCCGGTGATTACCTGATCATAGGGTTAGGGCCGCGACTGGACATACCCTCGGCTAAGGCGCTGGTCATCACAGATCCCTATCGGCTGCCGAAAGTGATTTACTTTGACTCAAACACAGCCTATATTCGTGTGATAACACACTCGTCGGACAAAAGTGGACAGGCGTTGCAATTGTCTTACAAACCGCTAAACAAAACGTATGAAGTGAGTGGAGATGAGGATTATCTTAACAGTCTTCGCAAGAATTCCCTTCATATATGTGTTGAGCACCGGTGCGATGATCCGGGTTATTACGAGACGTTGAGGGCAGTGCTAACCAGTTATCTCAATGAGAGGGTATTTGATGGTCGACTCAAGTTGGAGACACTTATCACCAATGATTCGGTGATAATCTTCGACACAGAGGACCGGACGGCTAATTCCGGGCCCTATTGTAGCGCACAGTTAGCCATTGTTCGCTACCAAGACCTCACCATTCAGTTCACTCTATTTGATAGGAATATTCTTCGAGATGTACTCTTTGGTGACGAACACGATGTGGTATTCAGAGGGCAAGTGATCAATGACTGCCACCCGGAAGGCATACAATTGCGAGAGATTTATGAGATAATTATCTACTTCTTGGTTCCCGTCATCTTTGTGTCGATTATACTGTGGATTCTGCGAAGACATCCGTTTTCCAGTAGAGGGGCGTTTGATAAGATGAAGTTATTGTCGCCATTAGCTGATCCGGTGTCCAATAGTGGTGATAGTAATGTGAATACCCGGCTCAGTGTCCCTGACTTTCAGAAACTGGATTCCGATAACGAGTTTTGTGTTAAGGATTACAATAACGAGAGACGAGACGTAAGTCGAAAGCAAACTCTGGACAGAAAGACCTCATATAGCGATGACTTCCCATTCATTCAACTCAAGACCTCATCCAAGAAGAGGGCCTCCATTTTCGACCCGAACTTAACGTGAGTCGAAAGCAAACTCTGGACAGAAAGACCTCATATAGCGATGACTTCCCATTCATTCAACTCAAGACCTCATCCAAGAAGAGGGCCTCCATTTTCGACCCGAACTTCAGTCGACAACAACTATACGCCTCCAAAGCCAGTGATAAACACAATATTCATAAATCCTTTTAATAAAACCGTGAATTAAATAAATCCTAAACATTACTTACAATTATATAAGACAATAAAAATTTAATAAATTACAAAAAGCAATATTTTATTTGTAATTTCCCTAAACATTATACAGTATATTTCGCATAATAGTTAAATTTTGTAATTAATTTTATGAATCATTGTAATTAATACATAAAAAACATTATTTATATAAAGAGAATGTCATAAGAATTAGTGGAAAAACCAATTGAAATATAAATTAAAGACTAGAAATATAATTGAGTTGTGTTTTCGTAAAATTCAATACAATTTTGCTTTTTTATTTGAGCTTTAAATTCATAATGTATTTACATTTGTAATAAAAACATTCATAACATTATACTGCATATGAGAGCAAAGAATTTGTCGCAAAATACATCTGAAATTGTTTGTAACCATAAGATTGAGTACAAAATAAATTCAATAATTAGAGAGAATTTCGCAAATATTATGCATTCATTTCCGACCAACAAAAGGCATACAGTTTTTTGTAACGTTTCGTAAAAATAACTTCAAAATACTTATAGATTTCATGTAAATATATATTAAAAATGATTAATAAATTGTGATCAAAAAGCGTACAATAATTATCTTAACGATAAGTTAACAGCAGTTTTCGAGACATAAGTAGACATCTCATCAAAAAACGACAACAAATAACATATCAATCGATGATTTTAATCATTACTTTCGCCGATTCCGAAGGCAAACAACATCTTTGGGCACCATTTTCATCAGTAAAACAATTAAAAATGGGTTAAAATATTAAATTAAAATTCTTTCCATGATTTATAACAACTTTCGTAAAGTTTATATACATATTAAGGCTATAAATATTTGTCAGGGATTTACTGCACAAATCCAGGCATTAATCCAATGGTTAACGGATTGACACATAAAAATCAATCCAAACCTTAATCTCTGGTTTCGATGCATAGAATCAATAATTAAAAATCAAAATTAAAAATACAATTTGTGTCCAAAAATACTCATTCATAATACCGTAATACTCGCAATGAAATCAATAAAACAATTGAGCGTTTGATTCCACATAATAACCACATAAACAGACATCAAATGTAATCATAATAAATAGATATTAAAAAACAATTTTCGCGTAAACTTCTCATCAAAAAACATCAAATATTGTTTGCCGTCAAAACCCCTCCAAACCTCCCGAAAAAAACATTGCATTCAAACCAATCTCAACGCCTACTTAACCGCCGCTGAGATGGCGTTATCCCCTACACCCTGACCGCACACACGTCACCAGTAGGTCTCACGTGAGCAAACTCTTGATATTCTTAGGAGTGGTGACATCGTTCAGATGTCTGGTGGTGTAGCGGAGGGCGTTCAGGAGGCCCTCCACTACGTTAGGCGGCTGTTCCCTTAGCACCTTTATGGAGCCCCTGACGTCTATATGGGAGGACTTGACAAACGCCCCCACGGGGTGCACGTGATCGTACAGTATGATCACCCCTACCATCACTCGCAGGACGAATAGGATTGTGTCCTCGTTTTGAAAGCGTGAGTAAAATTCACTGCAAAATATCAATGCATTTGATTAGTGATTGCATTCAATTGACGCCAATATATTCAACAAATAAATTGTTGCATAAAGAGAGTATTTTTGCATTCGTTTCGCTATAACAGTGCAGTCATCGACTCAATTGAAATCAATTGAGCCATCGATCCATCAATTAATGCCGTGTTTTCAACGCTTTATTGCTTATCATAATGACTGCACTTAACACCAAAATGCATTACGTTTTACAACACACTATGTGACTGAGAGTATCGCACTACACATGTTGTCTATGAATCAAATTATAAATGACAACAACAACTACACATAAACTTAAAAGTAAACATAAAAACAAATGTTTAATCATTAAAATGCGTAAAAACTCAGCAAACAAATGCAAAAACACTTGACACTCGGACACAATACTCAACTGATTCTCAATCATTCGTTGACACACTTTAGCCATCGTTCCCAACGTTTCGGTGGTGTTCTCGATGGGCAGGTCTTTGTTGTTGAGCACGAAATGGGAGGTCGAGTCGGACAACACCTTCAGCATAGGGGTCGGCTGCGCGTAAAACAGTGACATCCGGTTCGCCACTTCGTTACCGATGTTCACGTTATTGTCGGCGAATATGGGATTCTCTTGATTGGCGATCCGGAGTCGGCTAACAGTCCTCCTGTAGTAACTAAAGTCGTTCTGAATGGAGGGGTTAGTCATCTTGAGGTCGTCAAACTTGAGCACAAAGTCGAGTATCTCTGCGAACTGTTTGACGAGCGCCTGCTGTGTCTCCAAGTGCTCGCGCGGACTCATAGACCCGGAGCACAGCGCCGACAGCAGCTTCGGTACGCAATCCTCTATTCACGCGAGAAAACAATGGCCATTAAAATCAGATAACAAAACCCGAACATCGAGTGACAATAGCTTTTTATCGCGGGTTTACATCACATTTTCCTGTCGTTAACAAAAACTTTACCAAAAAATAGTTTAAAAATCAAAGTAAAAAATCTGAAAAAAGCAATAAAAACATGCATTTTATAGCTAACTATCAGAATACACGCAAAAACTAACAACAAAAATATGCCTACATTTAGAAAATTAGAAAAAAATTTTAAAATAAGTTCAAAAAGAAGAAATTCAACACAAAATATCTCCCAAACAATAGACACCGAAAAACTTGTGATACAAACCTAATCGGAGGGAAAACTCGTAGAAGTGTTTGAGTTTATTAACGAGTGGTAGCACTGCATCCCAGGCCTTCAGCTGGAATTCTTCATTCAGAGGATTTCCGATTGCCTACAAACACAACATAATTATTACACATTACTGTACAGTATATGACAACTAAAAAAAAGTTTTTATTATCACATAAAACAGAGCACACAATGTCTGTGCGATTATTCATTCAACGAAATGTATCAGTCATTTGAATATTACAATACATAAGGGGTTTACTCATAATGCATATCAAGCCTAAGAATCTGCAAAAAACTATTCATCAAAAAAAAACAAAATTTAAATTCATTTGAAAATGCATTAAATCATAGGAAACATAAGGAAATAATTGATGCAAATCTAAGTGCACGCCATTTAACACACATTTAATATAATAATAAATTTTGAGATAAACTATAATAACTAGTATTTCGTTACAAAACACGACACATATATCACCAAAAGCTGACGTATAAATCTAAATGTCAAACAAATCTACACATAATTTATACGATAATTAGTTTATATAAATCAAAGGCAACGCTAGACTTGGTTAGTCAGAGCACTGGTATGCGGTGTTCGGTCAGGTGTTTCGCAGGCACTGGTGGTCATTACCTCTAAAACGCTATACACTTATACTGTAACCAAAAAAGCCAATTAACTCCGGATTTACTGAAACATTAACTCATTTTATGAGTCAATTATTCGCCAAAAACTCTTTTACCACTCATTCATATATTAAGCCTTTAATTGACTTTAAATTACGGCTCAAATGCTGTCTTTCTATTCAATTCTCAATGCATTAAATAAATTAAAATTTTATTCAAATCGTATGGAAACAAGACTCACATAAACTTTTAATATAATATCAAAAGGCGTTTAATGTTTCAAAGTTTATAAAACACTATTTCATTAACTAATAAACAAAACCATTATTAAATCCATAGAAATATTAGATTAGAGGGGGAGAGGGGGAGAGACAGAGATTAATGAAAAATAAAATNTAAATAAATTAAAATTTTATTCAAATCGTATGGAAACAAGACTCACATAAACTTTTAATATAATATCAAAAGGCGTTTAATGTTTCAAAGTTTATAAAACACTATTTCATTAACTAATAAACAAAACTATTATTAAATCCATAGAAATATTAGATTAGAGGGGGAGAGGGGGAGAGACAGAGATTAATGAAAAATAAAATAAAATCGCGAAAACCTTTTCACATTTCAATAGAGAGTATTAAATATCAAATCTGACAAAAAAATGCACAAAAATGTTGTTTCGCTGAAAGACATATCAATTCAATGTTAAGACTAATCACTAGAAAAGCCTTCAAAAACGGGAGACAAAAACCAATGCCTTTAACATAAATATGAAAAACTAATCTCATATTCAAATGAATAGACAAATAAAGGCATAAAAACTTGAAAAACAATTTACAGTATATTAATTGATATGAAAAATAAACACCAAATGGGTTACGAAAACACGACATAATGCGCGCGACATTGAGTGCAATGAATAAAACGCCTAAAAATAGCCACAAAATTATCCTAAAAAGTGGTTAACTCTGTGGACACGTACCTCGCGTATCTCAGGACCGGCGCCTTTGTATGTCTGCAATTCACACAATATATCGTTGGCCTCAATGAGCACACACTCCACCAGAATGTAGACCTCCTTCTCGGTGTCCGTCGGCTGCGCGTCT